TAATGTTTGAAAGAGCGAGACTTTAGGGATATATTAGGGATAGATTTTATTAGGGATATATGCTTTTTTTAGTATTTATTTTGGGGGAATAGTGAACAAAATCGCGAAATGATTCTTGTAGAATATAAATACTTTTCCTTGGGTTTCATTAAAATCGGAATAATATTACAGTTAAGAAATAGAAAAAACTGATTTGGTAATAGCAAAGTAAAATTTTCAGCCTTTTGAAATTTTCTCTCAATATTTTCTATCGTGATTGAATAAAATGAAGTCGATGTCTTATAAGCTAAAATTAAATTTCTTGCAAGTGTGCGATATACTGTTACTGGTAATAAATGCAATTTTCATTCATGAAATTATTGAAATCGAGTCCAGGCGCGGACGAAGTAAAATTAATCTATAATTAAGAACCGGCAAAACGACTCTCGCAGAGAAGTTAGGGACCTCTCGCAGAGACTTTGGAACTACTAATTAGAGTACATATTTTATACGTGGCCTTCTTTTATCTTGCTTTTTTATTGGATTGCTTTTTTATTGGCTTTTCTGTTGTTGCATTTTAATATTTTTGTTATTACAAAACAAAATATACGGTTAACAGGATCGTGGCATTAATACATAGAAGAAGGTTGCTTCTATCATGTTTATATAGTTAATCACAAAAATTAGTTGCCTGAGAAGTTTTAACTTTGAGTTTCCAAAATATATCCATTTAACCCCGGTCTTTACTATTTACGAGCTTGTCACAAAAGACGAATTGCTCTTGCGACCTTCCAAGATCTTCTGAGATAATGTTTTAGAGTTGCACGTGTCCCTTTATCAAAGATTCATTAAAATCTCATATCATTTTGAATTTCAACATATAGCCAGTGAGCTACTTATGTTTGAATAATTTATTCGAATGATAATTATTGAACAGGACAAATTATTTGGATGTTATTTATGCGATTGAACATTCGGATGATTATTTAAATAAATATTATAGTAGTGTTCCCTCTCTAGGGCCAATAAAATACACGAATATTTAGTCACAGTTTAATAATTATCATTACGGGGACAACCTGATTAAAATTCGAATAAAATATGATTTTTGGGACGGAGGCTATTTGTTACAGCTACGTTACATCGAGAAACGAGCCCTTATTTGAATAAAAATTCGCCTGGTTTGCGGGAAACAAACATTTGTCCGTTGTTTTTATTTGCAGGCCATTATTCGTGCAGGACCTCGCAGCCGATTCTCTTTAAAATGAAAATCCGATCATTTTTGCACACTTTGTACGGGCCGTGGTTCAATATTGACGTATGCAAATACTTTTGCGAAGCTTTGCGTGTAGCCCGCTGCTCATCGACGAATTAAGTTGCTGTTTCCCCATCTCTGTCCTCCCTCTCTCTCTCTCTCTCTCTCTCTCTCTCTCTCTCTCTCTCTCTCTCTCAGTCCCACTCTTCGCGTAATAATAAAATTAGGAAACTTTCTAATTATATGAAATTCAACGGGGAGCCAGGTGCTGTCGCTTTTTAAGATTCCCCGGATGTTTTCGCGGCTGTCGCGCGGAGTTCTCCCTAATTAAATTTTTCGAACGACCCACAGAATACTTTGTGATTATTTGCTCATCGCTATTCACGCGACGTCCATGTACAATGTCATTCTCTTTATTCCGTTAAACTGCCGACAAGTTCGAATATGCGCGTTACTGTCTCGCTGTTTGCTCGAATGTACCTGCGTCATTGTTCTCTTAAGCGGATGCCACGCTTGAAAACTTTACCAACAAAACACTGACATTTTCTGCAAAATTGAACATTATATTGATCGCGCAGAATTACAACTGCTCTTACACAATAAAAGTACATGCAAGAATGAATTGGAGTATTGTTCGATATATATGATGAAAATTATCGACAATTTTAAAATTGCCGTCTCGAGCTGTCAGTAAATAGCCATCTTGTACAAAAGTTCTGCAGCCTGTACGTATGTTTGCCTTGCTCAAGAAAATCCTAAAGAACACTACTACATATTTACAACTGAATTTAGAAGCTTGTAAAGATAGGGAAAGTTTGTAGAAGGATTTCTCTATATATTGAGAGAAAGCATATCTAAGAGACAGAAAATATTTATTTGATAAAGTTGATGGGCTGTTAATACATGTTTATTTTAATATTTATTCTAATATAAAATATTATATATAGTTATTCTTATTTTATATATTTTTATTCTAAAATATAAAATATTTAAACAAATTAAGCAATATATAAGCAAATACGTTATTAGTACCCATCGAGAATAAATGTTTTTTATTTCTTAGATATTTATTCTTCCAGCGTATACGCGTGCTCGTGTTTTCTGCTAAATATGGAAAAAGAGGGACACGCAAGATCTCTATATGTACAGGAAATACGAAAAGGACAGTCGGTGATTGCGTCGGTGCTTGTCTGATATGACGCTTTGACAATCGCCTCTACGTTATCGACATTTTTCGTTTTAGTTCGTCGTCCAGTTTGGATCATCCTCTTATAAAACGATTGTCGATTTACGTAGCATATAATTGTGGGAAATTAAACTTTTCTCTCTCTTTCTCTCTCCCTCCCCCCTCCTCCTCCATTGCCACGGACTCTCTTTATGAAATATTAATCGCGAATAACATCGGTTAATTCATATTAATATGAGATAAAAATGGTTGCAGCTGACCAGCCGTCAAACGGTTTGGTACTTCCGCAGTTATGCGTTCCATTAATTTCACGTAGTCAACATTATTAAATATTAAAACTCCGTGTATACAGAGGAATAAAAAGGCCGTAACCTGTGCCGAAAAATTACGCATGAAATTTTCAAGCGTTTCTCTGCTATCGCGTCTTTGAGCATCTCGACGTAGCGTGTAATTATCGCGTCGACTGCGAGGAAAGGAATCTTTAATCAGTTGCGGAAACGCACAGTTCGCGGAAATATTAAAATAATTGTCAAACATACCCCGAACAGCGCGTTGTAACGCGGCGTGGCGCAGCGTTTGTTTCATCGACATGGCAAAAAGCAAATTTTCGTTTCCGGTTTGTGCCCGAAGCTCGTTTCCCTCTCTCGTACTTGCCGGGGGAAAGAGGATCAGAAAAAATTTCCTGCTTTTTGCATCCGTCGCGAACCTCGTATCGCTCACTCACTCTCTCTTTCTCTTCTCGCTCTCCTTCATTCTCTCTCTCTTTCTCTCTCTCTCTCTCTCTCTCTCTCTCTCTCTTGTACGCGCAGCTGTTATTTTTCATTATGTCAAGGAGTTTCCAGCCACCGTTGGCGCAACGGTCTCGTTTGAGAAAATACATCCTTTTTTCGGACGGCGAAATTGATCGTGTACACCGGCGTGTTCCATAAAATCCCACCAAAAACTGTCCGGTGCTGCATACGGTACTCGAGCGCGATAAGTCGCGGCGTAAAAAGTCAATTTAGCGTCACACGTGAGAGTTACGGCGCGAGCAGCGGGAACGTCTAACGGGGGCGCGCCGGGCGTCGCCCGACGATTTCTTCGATCGATTCTCGAGTTCCGATTCTTGTCAAGCCGTCGAGGTGGTGGTGTCCTCCACGTCGCAAGCTACGTCGGATGAATTCCCCTCTCCTTCCCCTCCCTTTCCTCGACGTCTGCATAAATAATTTTGCTGTAATTTCTGCTGGAAGACGCGACCGCGCGCGCACGCGAAATAAGTTTGCGTAATTCAAAGTAGTCGCGCGCGACGATTTACGGAATTATCTTCGATGGCTCGAACGTGGAGTTGTGTCTGCTTGCGCGGGGAGTGCTCGGTGACCGAATTTCGCTAGTTAAACGCGGAATGCAATGACATTCTCTCTCTGTCTCCTTTTTCTTTCTCCTCTTCATCTCCCCGTCTCTCCATCTTTCTCTTTATCTTCCTTTCTCTCTCTCTTCATTTCTATTTCTCACATTATGCTTCTCTTCCTTCATCTTTCTCTCTCATCCTCCCTCTCCCCTTTCTCTCTCTTTCTTTTTTCTCTCATCGTATTTTGGCACAAACAAGAACAATGGCGAAGACGGAGGACGAGTCGATTTTTGCAACGGACGTCTTAAGCCGTTGCGGAGCGAGAGAAATTTAATAAAGCGACTGGTAATGACGCTTAAGTAAATACATCTCGGCGTTGAGAAAGCGTAAAAATCGCTGCTCCGGATACGCTCGTTCGCATAAATAAGTGCCGGAACAACAAAAGCTCCGACTGCTCGTCCGTTTGTAATTTCATTAATTCAACCCGATATCCTCTTTCTTTCTCTCCCTCCTCCCCTTTCTCTTTTTCTTTCTTCGTATGCGCGCGCTGCCTTTGTTGCGAAAATTTACAAACTGAGAAATATCTCCGCTGTCTTGTCTTCCTCTTTCTCGTCTCGTGATAATTCCCTTCCGGTTTTACGTCCCTCGTTTTACTCGCCTTCCGATTGGTCGTGCGACGTTTAAATTTATGGGCGGCGTTCGACGATGGAGTTGGAGAAATTTCTCGAGCTACGTACGAACGCTCCCGCGCGTTCTCCTCGTTGCTCATAATAGTCGGAGAGAGAAAGGGGTGGCCGAGGGACGGAGACAGAGATGGAGAGTGGTAAGTGGGAGAGTAAAGGGGAAGGACCCGACGGAGTTACACCGTATCCTAATTTTCGTAATTCCGCCGAGCTTGAAACATTGGAACATTCTCTGCTTAATTATAATTCGTTGTAAGTAGGAGGACTCGTTGGTAGAACCCGCATCCAACTCGGCGCTCGTTTCTACATGTTATGAATAGTAATGAGGGATGAATAATAAAGAATTCGTTTACGACTCACGTCGGTCGCAAATTTCGCACGGCGAATTAAATTAGCTCACGAAAGCGGTCGTGATTATGTGCGTATCGCCTTGCAGACGGGAAGTTTCTATAATTTCGCGCGGCACAGAGTAAATAAACAAAGCCGTATTGTTTCACAAACTCATACGGTCGAGGCAACGAACGCTGGCATAAGCTGGAATAGCTTATATGAATTAAATTATAATTACAGTTTGCCTTCTTGCCTTGTAACAAAGAACGCGGGAGCGTGTTTTCTGGACTAATTAACAGTGATGTGATAAATTCGTAAACTAGAAGCAAACGTGGTTAGTCGAAAATTCTACTTCTCGATCTCCATCGAGGATCGATCTATCGAATGGTGAGGAGTTCGCGGAGCTGGCCGTACAGATGGCGCGCGTCATCTTCTATCCGCGTTGCGCGGCTATCTTCGATCTTCTTGCGTCGAGCAGCCGCCATTACCACATCGATCGACATCTCATTCCGCATCTTATGCGTATCTTGTCTGTCGAAAGTGAGCCTTGTGCGGAAATCAGTATCAGGAATGTCGAAAGCAGCGATCGTCGGGACGTATCGTGAGTACATTATTAGGGTGTAATCTCCTCAGTATCAATCGAGTGTTTGTCGCGACGTGTCGAGTCGATGTCTCATACAGCCGTATTGATAGTCTACTTTTTTCTTATTTCAAATTTGATAATCATAGAGAGAGGGGGGAAAAGGACGAATCTCGAGCTCGACATAGAACAGTTTCTTTATTTCTGTCGATTAATTAGGAAAGTACTTTCTAATATTTAAAATAAAGGCAAATAAGAACTAAAAATACAAATTTGTAATTTTATATATTTTTTTAATTATAAATATCATTGCTCTCGCCTTAACAGCGTTAGCTCTTATTTAATTTTATTTTACATATTTGTGATTGTACATTTTGAGAGCGTTATCTTGTTTATTATTTTGTTATTTAAAATATTTTCTGTTTCAGATTTGGCAGAGGAAGTGCGACTACATCGGAAAAATTGCTACATTACAATATAAACACACACAGTATTGGATATTGTTTAGATTCAAGCAGAGTTACTCCAAAGGTAAATTCGTGCACTTGTTACATTTTTCTATTCAATATTTCATAGTCTTAATATCATCCGCAGTTTCTAAATTTCTATAATCAGATGTACAATATATAAAATATATATAGAATTATATACGCAGATAATATATAGAATGAGATATGTATATATAAATATCATTGTTCTCACCCTATTAACAGCATAAGTTATTATTTGCTTTTATTTTATATATTTGTGATTGTACATTTCGAGAGCGTTATCTTGTTTATTATCTTGTTATTTAAAATATTTTGTTTCAGATCTGGCAGAGGAAGTGCGACTATACCAGGGAAACTGCTACATTACAGCATAAACGCGCACAGTATTGGAGGTTGTTCAGATTCAAGCATAGTTACTCCAAAGGTGAATTCGTGCACTTGTTACATTTTTCTATTCAATATTTCATAGTCTTAATATCATTCGCAGTCTCCAGATTTCTATAATCAGATGTACAATATATAGAATATATATAGAATTATATACGCAAACAATATATAGAATAAGATATGTAGAAAAAGGTTACATTCTTAGAATATGAATGTGCGTAGAATACGATAGACACACATTGTCGGGACGCGAATAATTAAATATTATAGTGTAATGTAAACATTACCTTACGTATTATATCGATATTTTTTGTGGTATGAAGCACGTGTATACATGAGATAGTGAGGTGTAGCGCGCGACGGTGTTTGACAGTTACGGCTCGACGCGCCGAAGGTCCCGCGACCTTCGAGTCAACAACGTGTAGATGCGCGCCGTGCTCCCCTCCAGTACAGTCTGCGGCGTCTCAGCGAGTACGTCGTACGGCGTCGCGCGTTATTTGTGACTTTGTTCAACTGATTAGAGACAAATTCGTTCGTGAGATAAATCGCGTCGCTTCGCGAGTACGATCGCCATGCCGGGATCATCATGAGCATTGCGAGCATCCTCAAATTTAAGGGTGATTATCGTATTCTAATTTCATCGCGTGTGAAAGAGAAATATAATCTTAAATATAACTTACAATCGAGTCTCGTACTGATAATATTTCCGTGTTCTTGTTACCTCGGTGAAATCGAGCAATTTCATTGCAATTAGGAAAATATTTCCAGATTTCTTCTGAGTAGAGCTTGCAGCTATGGCGTTGTCTGGGATTCCAGTGATTGCGGATGCAGTACCGAAGGATTCGGTTCGGGCCAAGCAGGACCGGCTCGAAGGTTTGCATACATATTTATTATATCTCTTTGTTTATCTCTTTGCAGTTGAGAAAGAGTCGTCTACAATGCGGTCGCAGTTATGTGTTAAACTTGTAGCATGCGGTCTGTAAATCAATCATACATCTATTTCTTTCGCGTAAACTCGTGAAAAATGGAAAGTTTTATTGAACTGGTCAATAAAGCTTTTCATCTTTTACGAAATTCACGCGAAGGGAACGTGATCGATTTACAGACTGTACTACAATTTTAAAACACGACCGCGTTGTAAATGATTTGTAAGATAAAATTTTCGATATAAAAATCGAAGTACGATCGCAAAGAGATGACCTATTCATACGCGCATTTATCTATTAAATTAGATCATTAAAATTAATCAGCAACGTTATTTTTTTGTTGTAGAATCGAAAGCAGAACGCGGCCGACCCTGAATCAGCGACATTTCGGTGAGTGAGAAAAACTTGCAAACTAAACGGTAATACATTAAAAAAAAAGAATATTCTTGTTTAGGGAATATCTTTATTGTTGACATTTTAAAAATAAGATTAATATTAAAATGAAATTATATATGGCGTTGAATGACGATAACTTAGTTTTTAATCAAGACGAATATACTCAAATTAACACAATCATTTTCCTATATATTAGCATGAGTATTAATATTATATATTATTATATCTCATTTTAATCTCATATTATATTAATACTTAATATTAATCCTATTTTAATATTATCTATTTAACATAATTTATTATCTAATTTAACATAGTCTATTATCTATTTAACATAATCTTATTTTAACATTAATCTTATTTTTAAAATGTCAACAATAAAGATATTCTCCAAACAAGAATATTCTTTTATTGTGCATTGTTTTCATGTGGTACACGGAGAAAAATAATTTTGCTCTTTTAGCAAACTTGTCGTTGCTACTGCATATTCGTAATGACATCAAAAAAACTTAGTTGACATAACTAATTTTATAAATTATACGTTATCAGAGCAGAAGTAATTTCGTTGCCAGGATAGAAAAAATTTGTTGAGTGTATTTGTCCTAAGAATCACGTTAATTTGTTATTGATGCAAAATAATGTATCCTTAGCAAATTTATTTGCTATCGGAGTAAAACTGCAACTGCTTATATAAATCCATCATGGTTTTTATAGCAAAATAATTTGTAGATTCAGCAAATTATATCCAGCAAATAGTGATTAATACTCTTAGCAAATCCTTTTGCTATCCATATAATAACGAAAAGATTTTGCTAGACCAGCAGAAAATTTGCTGGGCCAGCAAATTATTTTTCTCCATGTAGGCATTCGTAAAACTCGACAAATCAGTGCGATCTACTTTGGATGTAGATTTTTATATGTTATATGTCCTTTTGTAGAAAACTTAAAACAATTAAGGAATTACCTCAAATGTTAGTATTAGACTTAAGTGCGCTTCTGAATAAGTAAGCAAATAAGTAAATTAAATCAGTAAATAAGTATTTTTATATAACTTTTATATATACAATCTTATATAACTTATATAACTTTTTTTTCGTTTGAATAAGACTATAGAATTATTCAACGCAACTATTAGCGTAGTGTGATTCCTTCGTTGTTTTTTGCAATATATAATGCGCATTAAAATTGCGCCACTAATTGCGGAATTCGCGATTATTTCGTTCGCATTGATAGACTTCGCAAACGCTGCAGTCGTTAGTTTTTTTCAAATTTCTTCTATGCATATTTACATCGCAATTTGATTTCGCAAATGGAGATGAGATTTTTTGCATTCGATATCGCGGAAATGAGTTTTGCTGGAGCAAAATAATTCGACGTGCTGATTTTGTGCACACTATAACGCGCAGGTTTCGTGATAGTTGGGACTTTGTTTTTAATTTTTGCACAAAGTTCTCTGCGTGAAGTACGATACTGTCGAGGGTCAATATTTCTTCGTGAAATTAATATGATGGTCGTGGGAGTGAAAGTTGTTCGTTTATTCACGCGTCCGCAGTTTCATCGGTCGTAGAAGAACTTTAAGCGGTTACGACTGTATTTTGCTTGCGTGCGCGATTTCTAATTATTCTGTTTTTATATTTACGTTCGAGTTCGCGATTACGTCTTAGAGAAATAGGGAGTTTATTAAATCCGCGAAAATATAATTTTGTTACGTACGCAGAAGAAAGATATTCTTCTTTGAAGAATATCTTTATATGACATATAATCTTTATAATCTGTTTGATATATGATGACATATAAAAATAAAATTTTTTCAACAGAATTATATATCGTTGCTTAATATATAATTTTGTTGGAAGAATTCTATCGTCTCGAATTAAAAAATAATTATTTATTTAACTGAATATAAAATGTATTGATGCGAGTAACTTATCTTTGTTTAACGATGTATAATCTCATTTGAGGACATGTTAAATAAATATAAAGATATTCTTCAAACAAGAATGTCTTTTTTCTGCGTGCGTAACAAAATTCGACGTCACGTATAACTCTAGTTAATCCTTATTTAAGGATTTACATATAAAAATAGTCTTTAATTTAATAAATAGCCTTTTTGGCATCAGCTATCACTCTATTATTAATGGAACAATATGCCCTTACGTGTTTCTTATGATTAATTAATCGAGAAAGTGTGAATGTGCTCAAGGAAGAGATGATCTTTTGACAGCTTAATGTTTCGTGTGTGTCAGTAATGAGGCTTATCCGCTTATGTGTAACGCGCAGTCAGCAATTAATTAATTAGTCATTTATATGAATTTTATATATTAATCTCTTACTCATCCTCTCCGATATCTTTACTTTTCCTTAGCTGATGGTGCATTACACACAAGTAAACTTTACTGACGCAAACGTAAAGCTACCACCTTTGCTTTGAAACATCTTCTCGTTTTCTCGAGATTAATTAATGATAAGAAACACGTAATTGGAAACTAATGCGGCTGATTGGAAGATTTTCAGCGCGTATCACGTGCTACTGTTAACGTCGTTTGGTGTCTTTTAGCGACTATTAGCGTCGTACATATTCACAATCATGGCGCGTGATATATGCGTGTTGTAGAGAGGATATATTTAGACGCGAAAATATAAAGTAGGGATTTTGTTTGATAAAACTTGCAATCGTGCAAGAACCTGCAGCTAATTTAACGTATTCAACACCGCAGTGTCATAGTGACTGGCACTGAGCTTCTCGTTTACGCTTTGTCAGTCACCGGTGGCTGTCATGCAATGTGTGTGCATGTGTGTTAATATAAAATAATCCAATTGGCGCGAACGGAAAGTCAGCTGTTAAATTCACCTTGACGGTGAATGTGCGTTAAATGAGCCTGAGCCAGTGCATCGTAGACATTGCATACGTGACGTGTATACTCGCGCTGCCAGATAGCTTGTCCGCACTTTTTTGCTCGAGTTCCGAAACGCTTGTGCCTTATTCAATGGGAAAATTCCCTCAAGCGTGTACCACCTCGAGAAAAAATAATCATATATGCGAAATTTCGCACAATATAGAGTGTCTCAGAGCAATCTCTCAAGCTCTCGTGGAAGCATAGTGTAGATTGAGGTGAACGTTCCATATCGTTTTGCGATAATTCGCAATAAATCTCGAAATATTAATTAAAGGAAATTAGTGAATAATCATACACGATATGGCAGATAAGTTGTAATGACACCGTCTGCTTGTATACTTTAATCCTTCCACGTTTAAACGTTCTACGTTTCCACGAGCGTTGTGGAAACGATTTTTACACCCTGTTTAATTATACCTGTATGATTCATAAACAGTTCATATGCAAAATGTATATGAAAATACAATCATATGTATTCTTTTCTCTCGGGAGCTCTTTTTTTTGTCGAGCTGTCGAGAACTGAACAAGATGATTCCAACAGACGCTCGCTGTTTCTTTCGGATTTTCTTTCGCGAACGGGAAAACCAAAGTCAATCGCTCAGCGCCGCTCAAGAGCTCTCCAAGTTACGAAATGCAGTTCGGGACGGCCTTAAAGAAACCGCGATCGATGGTAGATTTGGGTACATTACGCGGGGTCGAAGGAAAAGGCATTTCCGCGCTAGTTGATGGCCAGAGGAGCATGAACAACGGGCGGGAGAGTAAATGCACTCGAATATTTAAGAGCCGTGCAAAATGCAGCCTCGTAGCGCGTCGGGTTACCTACGTCACGCCTCTCTCTCTTCTCTCTTTCTCTCTCTCTCTCTCTCTCTCTCTCTCTCTCTTTCGCTCGCTTGCTCGCTGCATCCCTCAATTTCCTTATTTCTCTATGCGCAGATTAGCATTAATTGCGACGTAGCCACCACGAACGAGGAAAAATGCGAAGTGGCATGGCTGTTTTGGCGCGCGTCTCGCGAGACTGTCGTGTGTTTTCGTTAAAATGCATTATATTAGAATTTGCATCACTTTAGCTTGAAGCGCCGCTAACTTTAAAATCCGCGAGTGTTCCGTGGGAGCCGCCGTAATTTTTTCGGCTCATCCCCGGCGCCGTTATTAAATGCGTCCTTCGTGCGAAAACATTTAGGTTTCCATTCCGTGTATATTCAAAGCTGCTCGCTTTCGCGCTATTCTCTTTTCTTCTCTTTCGAAGTTGGTTGTCATTGGCTTTGCGTGCTTCTCAAGTAACGAACAACATTTTCGTTGCCTGACGGTATTAAGAAGTGGACGGTGTCCGTGTTACATCCAGATCCAATTTCGATGAAAAACAAGAAGTGTAATTTCAGCGGATTAAACGCGAGGGAGTATCTGCGTTTGCACAGACGATCCTTTATTAGGCGTTTATGGTGACAAAGTTTCTCGCAATTACACGGAATAATCGGTGCCGCCGCAAACTGCTTAAATATACGACGGTTGTCCTTACAATGTTATTATCGTTTAACTTGGAACGTCGCGGAATATCCCTTTTCCGGCTCGAAACAAATTACGAAATGTCGGCGCTCAAACACATCTTTTTCTCTTTTCTTTTTTCTAGTTTTTTGTTTTCTTTTCTTTTTTTTTCAATTTCGTTATCTCCCTGATGCGTCGACAGAAGTTTGCCGAAAGAGAAAATATACACGCAGAAATGTGTAGTAAATGCGAAATTATATAAATATCCACATTTAATTTCATCTCGCGGCAGGGAACCCTTCACGGCCGAGAGAATACGTTTTTCCAGGTGAAATTTATAACAAAACACGAGCGATACGACGTCTCTCATTTTAAAGTCACATTTGAGTCGGACGTGTTTCGTCGCGCTTGTAATTTAATTAGCGAACCTTTGGCGCGGTAATATACACATAAAACATCTGCGGTATGTAGCGCGACGGATTGAAAACTACGGTGAAAAAAGGGCTTGAGATCGGCTCGCAGCGACGAAGGGTGTCTTTGTTCCCGCGGCGACGTTTCCAAGAGGGGGAAAGTGAGAAAGAAAGAGTGAGAGAGAGAGGTAGGAGAGCATTTAAA